GCACGCACTGACACACACACACACGCGCACGCACTGACACACACACAAACACGCGCACGCACTGACACACACGCACACGCACTGACATGCGCACGCACACACTTGCACACACACAGACGCACTGACGCGCGCACACACGCACTGACGCATGCACACACACACACTGACACACGTGCGCTCACACTGACGCACGCACACATGCGTGCGCACACACACTGACACACACGCACTGACGTGCACGTGCGCGCGCACACACAATGACGGGCGCGCGCGCACACACTGACACGTGCTTGCGCGCGCGCACACACACGCACTGACACACACACACAGACGTGCGCACACGCACACACTGACGCACGCGCGCACACACACTGACACGCACATGCGCACACACACAGGCGCGCGCCCGCGTGCGCACAGGCGCACACACGCACACTGACGCTCCGACAGCGCGGCGCTCCCTCAGCGCTGACGCTCCGACAGCGCGGCGCTCCCTCAGCGCTGACGCTCCGACAGCGCGGCGCTCCCTCAGCGCTGAACATTGTAACTGTGTCTTTCTACATGAGGGGAGGGTGTCTCTGAGTGAGCCTTGGAGACGGTCCTGATGCTGAAATGGGTTGGAACCTGCAGCTTGTAATGAGATCCTCGATTTTGTGTTCCCCCCCCCTTTCAGCGAACGTCACAAACAGCAGCTCGGGACAACACAATGAGACCACCCCTGAACTTGTGCTGAGGATGAACGGCTGGCTCATCTGTAAGGACCAGGATGAGATGTTGAACTTGGCATTCACTGTTGGGTCCTTCCTGCTCAGTGCCATCTCACTGCCCCTTGGCATCGCCATGGACAAGTATGGCCCACGAAAACTGCGTCTGATTGGCAGGTCAGTGCCTCCCAGTGTTGCTAGCAACACTCCTAAATCTGGAGCTATGCTGAGAAGATCCATGCAGCAGCTGCTCGAGGGCGATATACAAATTTAGAGCGGACTCCATCAGGGCTATCGCTGTGCGATGGTTGTGTCTGTACCTCTGAGCCAGGAGAGCCCGTTTCAAGTCCCACCTTCTCCAGGGTTCTTTCATAACATCTCTGAACAGGTCAGTCAGACAATATTTAGACTCCCCATCCATCTCCCTTTAAACCACTGCCTGGGGCCATAAGATAAACCCTTGGGAGTGTTTCACATATCTGTCTGGCAGGTTTGTGATCGCGGTCCCGGGGAATAATCCAGAGAATGTTAGCCCAGATCCTGCTGGAGTTAGAATTTATATTGGACTAGAAAAACTACTTGTCCCTTTTGGGAGGGAAATCTGCCATCCTTACCCAGACTGGCCTACATGTGACTCCAGACCCACAGCAATGTCGGTGACTCTTAAATACCCTCCGAAATGGCACCAGAGAGCCAAGTAGAAAGCCCAGGACCAGCTCAGGGCACCTTGGGATGAGTAGCAAATCCCAAGACTAAGTTCCCATTGATGTACAGTGGCGATAATTCTTTCAGGACCATGACTGTTCACAGAAATCATTGCTGTACAAGGATGAAGTGGGGAGCATCATGGACTCCCAGGACCTCAATGAGGATGCCTCCCCCCACCACACACCCCACCGCAACCTCCCCACCCCCCCCCACTTCCCCACCTGTCGGGGAGATAAACTGGACTCTGATCCAGGTCTTTGTGCGGGGCGTTAACGCAGTAACTATATATCTGCACTTCAACTATGGAAGGTATCACTTTGCATTTCCTCCGTTTCCATTTAGAAATCACCGTTGCATTCCCAGAAGCTGAAATTCCGGCTGCTTTACAGTCGCTGAGTTTAAATGTGTTCCCAGAGAAGTAGTGAAGTCTCAGTTCCTTCCTGTGGATGTTTGGTTAGACTGCACCAGGAGCACTGGGCAATGTTGGTTTCCTTACCTCAGGAATTACTGCCATAGAGAGAGTGCAGTAATGTTTCCAGACTCATTCCCGGGATGGAGGGGCTGTCCTATGGAGAGAGATTGGGTCTGTATTCTCTGGGGTTTTGAGGAATGAGAGGTGATCTGAGTGAAACTTACAAAATAGTTGTAACGGAGGGACAAGGTAGATGCAGGTAGGAAATTTCCCCCTAGGGGTGGGGAGTCTAAAACCAGCTAACACTGTATTCAATAGAAAGGGGTATGGCACTAAGGTCCGAGCTGGGGAGAAGTGTGTTCCCTCAGAAGGTTGTGAACTTTTTGGAATGGTCTGCCTCAGAGAGCTGTGGAAGCTCAGTCAGTGAGTCTACTTAAGGTCAAGATTGACAGGTTTCTGATTCCCAGACGGGTATGGGGTCATGGTGGGTTGGGTAAAGAACAGGGAAGTGTCCAATCAGCCATGATTGTATTGAATGACAGTGCAGGCCCAAAGGGCTGAATAGCCTGTTCCTGTGATTGTGCACCAGCACTGGCTACCCATTCAGAGCCTGAGGCATTTACATAGCACCTTACAACGAAAGAGCGAATTGGAGGGAATAACACAGGGAGCTGGGGAGAGAGGCGCAACAAGAGGGAGAGTTCAGGAAAGAGATGGAGTGAGGGAAAGGGTTTAGGGGATGGGAAGGAGAGAGGGAGGGGGAGCAGGTTTGGGGGTAATAATGATGACGGTTGGCAGAGAGATGGGTAGATTGGCATGGGGTTGATTGGCAGGGTTGCCAGGTGACCATGCTGTTTATTCTGTGTTCCAGCACCTGCTTTGCTCTGTCCTGTTTGCTGATCGCCTATGGAGCCAGTAACCCTGATGGTGAGTACACAGCAACTGTTCCAGCTCATAACCACACAGCCAACATCAGGATCTACTCTAACTCCATTCTGCCTCCTCTCTTTCCAGATCTGTCCGTTCTGATTTTCATCGCGCTGGCCCTGAATGGATATGGGGGGATGTGTATGACCTTTACCTCTCTCACGGTAAGACTGTACTCACACTCAACTCGTTGGCCACTTCAAACCTGGGGTCTACTCCCTGAAAAATCATTGTATATTATTGCAGCGATTGTCGAGTTCAGTCCTTTACTCAGTATCAGCTTCCCGAAGGGGCTGACCCTCACTGGGACACAGTGCCCGAAGGGGCTGACCCTCACTGGGACACAGTGCCCGAAGGGGCTGTTTCCTGGGATGAGAGGTTACCATGCTGAGGATAGATTGGAGAAGCTGGGGTTGTTCCACTTGAAGGATAGAGACTGAGACGAGATAAGTTTGAAGATTCAAAATGATGAGAGTGTGTGGACAGTGTAGATAGGGGGAATATGTTCCCACTCCTGAAAAGGTCAAGAACTGGAGCAGAGACGTAGAGTGAGCAGGAAAAGAAGGGAAAGTGAAGTGAGGATAAATGTTTCCATTCAGTGAGTGGTTATCGTGTGGACTGCCCTACCTGGGAGTGTGATGGAGACAGGGTCAATGAGGCATCCATGAGGACATTGGGTCCTTATCTGAAAGGAATGAATGCTCAGGGTCATGGGGAGTGAGCTGGAGAATAGCACAGAGTGAGTGTTCATAGATCCCTAAGGAACCCACATCAGTGCCCTGAACTTCAACATATCTTACAAATCTTACCTAGCAACAGATATCCAATCATTATCACGTTGCTGTTATGGGATCTTGCTGTGCATAAATTAGTCACCATCTTTCTGAATTACTTCACTTTCTATAAAGTTTGCATAAAAATCGCTGTAGGAATACAAAGCTGTCTCTGCTCTCTCTTTCTCTGTCTCTCTCACCTTGCCTTTTTCTCACTCCTCTCCTTCTTCACTCCTCTCCTTCTTCACTCCCTCTCTTCCAACATATTGTTCTCTCTATCCCTCTCCCCCACTTAATCCTTTTCTGTTTCTCTTGCAAATTTTGTCCATCTCTCTCTCTCTTTTCTCTATCTTCCTCTTACATTTTATTCTTCACTGTCTTTCTGATCCTTTCCATTACTTTCTGTCTCTCTTTCCCTCCCTCTCTGACTCTGTCTCACTCACCTTGTCCCCTTTCTCTTTCTGTCACTTTGTCCATCTGTGTGTGTGAGTGAGTGAGTGAGTGTCTATCTCTCTGTGTCACTCTCATTCACTCAACTCACTCACCCTGCCCCTCCTTTCTCTGTGTCTGAATGTCTCTGTCTGTCTCTACCTCTCTCACTGATTCAAACTGCACCCCCTAACCTCCTCCTGCTCCCTCTCTCTCCCCTCTTCCCCCTCTCTATTCCCCCCCTCCTCCTCCCCCCCCTCCCCCTCCCCCCCCCTTCCCCCCCTTCTCTATTCTCTCCCCCCCACACCCCTCTCACTCACGTGCTGTCTCTCCCTCTCACACACCCTCTCTCTTGCTCTCTGTACCCCCCCTCTCTCTCTCTCTCTCTCTCTCTCTCTCTCTCTCTCTCTCTCTCTCTCTGTCTCCCTGTCCCTAGCTGACAGCGGACTTTCCCCTTGCCTGGTTCCCTGTTGGATTGAGTGGACAGATGCTGGGCTGTTGACACAGTAATAGTTGCTGATAGCTGTGTTGTGTACAGATGCTCCTTCCCCGCCCTGCGCTGTCAACACCGTACTTTTCCATCTCATTAATCCGCCTGTGGAAAATTCTGTCCTTCACCCTCCCAGGAACTGACTCTCTCCAGGCTGGTGCCCACTGGGAATACCACCACGGGCAGCTGGGTGAAGACCCCAACACGATCCCAGAGACCCTGCAAATTGGGCATTGGGGACGGGGTGGGAGGGTGTTACTGTTTGTAACAGGGAAATTGAACTGCCCTGCGGAGGGGTGAATGAGAGAAAAGGCGAGAGAGTGAATGAGAGACCTGCACTTCCATCCAGTCACACCAAACGTTCAAAAGCAGACCACTACAACTGGAGTTAGTATCAGTTTATCAGCATGCTCCCCATTGTAATGTAGGAGTCACAGCACCCACTTTGTGCATAGCAAGATCCCACAAGCAGCAGTGTGATTGTGAGCAAGGTAGCTATCATAACCATGGGATTTGCGGGTAATTTACTGGCCCTCGGGCAGCCCAGGCCCAAACCTATTTCCTCAATGTTTTAGGATCCTTTAGACTGACTCTCCGACAGTGCGGCGCTCCCTCAGCGCTGGCCCTCCGACAGTGCGGCGCTCCCTCAGCGCTGGCCCTCTGACAGTACAGTTTCCATATGGATTGCCAATGGAGAGAAACCAAGTGAATGTTTAAGATATTGTCCTGGCTGTCATACATGTATCCTTTAAATAAATACAGGAATTCCATATAATTATTAACATTATCCTAATTTGTCCACCTTTAATGATTTTTATACACTGCCCCCCACCTGGCCACCCACATCTCTCTCTGTTCCTGCAGCTCCTACAGAATTGTACCCTCTGTATTTCTAATCCTTGTATCCAAATTAATGTCTGTAAAACGTTCAGAGTCATCTGTCCTGTGTCTGACCTGTTCCCTGGTCTCTCTCGCTGCTCTGCTAACTACCCAGCTCGATTGTCACTGTGTTTCCAGGCATTATGTTCTGAAAGTGCACTGAGTGGATCTTGCTCTGTGCTGACTCAAACTGACCAGAGAGGCCGAGGGGTGAGCCTTACTGTATCTCTCTCCCTTTGCCAGCTTCACCATCACTCTGCAGTTCAGTAAATGTCTGTCTCAGGAGACGACACATTACCCCAGAGGCTGACAGATTGTTCACCTACAACCCAGTATGCGACAAGGTGACCTCTCGGCTCTGGGGATTAGCAATAACTAAATAATTAAAGAGCTAGCGTTGAGACTCTTTCGGGGTTGCTGTGTCCCCAGTGGTACAGCGAGCTCAGTGGAGGTGAGATTGAACGAGGGCCGCGCTGAGTGGGACTGGGCTTGTGCTAAAGCAGTGTTTTCAGGAGATTGGTTGACTGAGTGTGACAGTGAGTTGTCAGTCAGGGTACCTTCATCCCCATAAATAGCAGCCTGCTCTCCAACACCTGACCCCACTCACCAACATTATACTCAGTACAGAACTACCTCCACTGCCCCCCCCTCCCACTGACCAACCAGTAACCAGAGACCACTCAGAAAGACCTACATTCGTATAGCACCTTCTGTAACTTCACCCCATCTCAAAGTGCTTTGTGGCCAATGAGGACAGCTTTGAATTGTAGTTGCCATGGTAATGATGCAAAGTACAGTGGCCGACTTA